TTTCTTGAACAATAATGACATAAATGAGTCAAACTTTTAATTGATATCATAAATGAATCTTTTCAGAAAATTTAATGGCTTATTTAAGCATTTTTCCATATTTATATATTGATTAGGACTTTAAACACTCCCATAAAACTTTTACGCAGGAAATATTTTTTTATTTATAGAAGACTAAAATTTGAAGTAAACATTGAATGGGGATGATATTATTCCTGTGTGAAATACGGTAGGGAAAATGCACAAGTATCCTCTCCATTTATGCTCGAAATTTTAGAGACACACTTATACTATATTAAGATTCTATTACTCTCTTGAACTTATTTTATAAGTATTTTTTTGTTCCTTTCTGGCCTACGTGATACTAGTTTGAAAAAAAGTCAACCAGCTTTAGATCCACAAGATAGTGTCACGTATGCCAAAAATGGATAGGAAATTATTAATAAAATAAATTCAGGAGGGTAACAAGATCTTAGTATAGTATAAACATGTCTACAAAATTTTGGATATAAATTAAAAAGGTACTTGTGCATTATCCCAATAAGGTATATTAAGTAGAAGTTGACCAAAAAAATTTGCTATCTAGACTAATAATTTTTGCAATATTAATTCAATTATTCCTCTTTACCGTGGCTCTTGACTTCTTGTATTTGAAAAATAATATATATTGATGTCATTTTCACACTTCCTCCGGTTTTGTTTAATTGATAATAATAATAATTCTTATTATTTTTTAATTTTAAAATGATAAAAATTATGCGTCATTCAAAGCTTGTCTAAAAGGAGAGAAAGTTGATTTGATCTTCGCTTGCCCATTTTATCTAATTCACTGAATGGATGAGTCGTCGAATTCTGAACCACGTAATATACTTTATTTTTTGAATTACAAACGGACATCATTCAAATAATTACTTTCTCTATTTTAATTTATACGATGCATTTTTTTAAAAATATTTAGGTGTAGTACGGCATTGGAGGAAAAACCTCAGTAACCAAACTTTAGAAAACAAAGCAAGAAAATTATCAAATAAAACTCATAAACAAACTGAAATAATAAATTAAATAGACAATAACTATTAAAACTTAATCTTAGATAAACAGAAATAGGGACTGTTCAAACTTAATACAACTAAATAACTAAACTAACCCGTGATGTTCCAATAATGTCATGTTTTATTATAAAATAAATTAAATAAGCTTCTTTCTGTTCTTCTTTTAAAAATGTGTTTCTAATTTTAACTGCACTAGAGATTAGTATATTCATGTGTATGGAATTAAAATAAATCAGCCCAAAGAGAAGGAAATAATTTTTTTATTAATAGTGGTGACAAGTTGATTGAGTAGACTATTATTTAAAGAGATAATTGTATATAATAACAAATTAATAACTTTAAATAAATGAAGTAGCTACTGTTTGATTTAATTGCGCCCAATAGCAAATGTTTGCCAAAGTTTGCCAGTTGCCTTTCTCCCAAAACTCTCGCTCGCCACTCTCCCATTTTCGTTCGTCACTCTCCCTCTGCTGCCTCTCTCGCTTTATACAACAGACGTGTATAAATTGTGTTTCTGTTTTGTATAAAGCGAGAGAAAATTGTATATACACATGCAAAAACATGTATCTTCGTGCTATACACTTAATTATACGATTTACAAACATTTTACTTCGATTCAAATACAAATACAAATTTTGTACAAATGTTGCAGCAAAAAAGGCAATGACTTATACAATTGCGAATTATATAATTGCAGTGAAATATAATTTTCTCTCGCTTTATACAACCGAAGTGTATAAATTTTGTTTATGTTTTTGTATAAAGCGAGAGAAAAACATATATTTTATTCCTATACACTTATAATTATACAATATACAAACATTTTACTTCGATTCAATTATATGCAAAGCAAATTATATATTTATATTGCACCGAAATCGGCCAGTGAATTATATAATTACAGCGAAATAGGCCAGCGAATTATACAATTTAGGCCAGCGAATCATACAATTCTATATGTATAGCGAGGCCAGCGAATTATACAGTTATATATGTATAGCGAATTATACAATTATATATTTACAATGGAGCACAATTATGCAAACTTTGTTATAACATACAAATATAAATTTTTTATTTACTATACGTGAAAGTTGCCCTTATTTAAATTAGAGGGCTCAGGTTTAAATTTTTTTTATATGTTTTCTTGATCGAAAACGCATCTTATGGTGGTACAATATTAAAAATATAAGAATTACTTTTTTATTAAATAAATTTAAGAATATTTTCAAATCATTACCTTGGGGAATAATGTATCCTTTGTGACAGCCGGACAGATTAAAATATGTTTTTTTTTAATTATATTTATTTCCTTATTTTTTAAAAGTTAAAAAAAATTGTCTTTCTTCTTGTTTTCATACAGATGGAATTTTAATATCTTTTTAAAGTGGAATTTCAATTAAATTAGAATATAGGTTTCTCTTATGAACTATGATAGGCGTTTCTGTTTTATTTATTTGATCTCGAAATATAATAACTTTAGTTTAAAATCAATTCTTCGCTTTAATTATTAGAGTGAACATACAGATCAAATTCACATTTTATAAAATTTCTTCAAATACGTAAAAAAATAACGTGACCCCAAAATTATTTCAAGATCTACAAATATACTTTTTTTAAATGTCTTATGTGACTTCCTCTCCAATCCAATAGAAGAATTCCTATTTTTTACCTTTTATTTTTCTTAGTCTTGTTTTTCAATATTCAACTTTTCCTCTTTAGTAATTTGTGGTTCATATATTTTGACTATGTTAATATCATTAATTTTCACATTTTTCTTGCTCGTGCAGAAAAACAATCATTAGAATGAGTTAGTGAAAAATAAATTACTTTTTTTATAAGTGAAAGTATTAAAAACAAATACAAGATTAACAAAATGAAGAGAGTATTAGAGATAAAAAGAAAATGTATATCTAAGTTTTGATTAAAATTAGCAATACAAAGTTTAACAAATACATGTTTTTGTTTCACTCCTATCAAAAGAAAAAAAAAAGAAGCTTAAAGACAAAACTAAATATTACTCCTACTTTTTCCTTGTTTTATTTACTTGAAGAAGTATAGACATCTCAATTATTACACATAAATAAAATAAATTTTAATAAAAAGAATATGATCTTAAAATATAAGTAAGGATGGAATAATTAAATATCTCTCTTATAACTGATATTTTCTTAACAGAAATACAAAATAAAAAGAATATGATCTAAAAATATAAACAAGAATGGAATAATTAAATATTTCTCTTATAACTGATATTTTCTTAACAAAAATACAAAATAAAAAGAATATGATCTTAGATTATAAATAATGATGGAATAATTAAATATCTCTCTTATAACTGATATTTTCTTAACAGAAATGCAAAATAAAAAAAATATGATCTAAAAATATAAATAAGAATGAAACAACTAAATATTTCTTTTATAACTGATATTTTCTTAACAGATTTGCAAAATAAAAGATACGATAAATATTTTGAGACGATGGATATAATACATCCATATCTTAATGTGTGGAAAAATTATGTGTGGCCTTATAGAAAATGAGCTAAATGTGGGACATAATAAATCAAGTTATGGTCAATTAATTATCCCCATCTTGAGGGCCACAACCTAGGTACTATGATATTAACAAGTTTGTTTCTTCTTGTTTTCATAAAGGTGGAATTTTCATATGTTTTCACATTAGAATGGAATTTCACCTTAGTTAAAAGGAAACTTGATCTTATGATATTTAAACTTCTTTTGGACGTGAATATACTGATTCGATTAGTTCAAATTTGTATCGCGTAAGATTAATTTAAATAAGAAAAGGCTTGAGTATTAAGGCTTAGATGCCCAAAATCTTTAATCAAAATTGAAGGAATTCTTTCTTCTTAATATACGAAATTAATTAACTAATTATGTACGTATTTTTGTTTAGAACAACTGAATGAAATCTAAACATAAAATATCAGTATACATAAGAAATTAGGGTTGGTGTAACAATTTAAAAGTTAATAATAACAAGAATATCAATATCTAATATATACATAAAAATAATAATGAACCCCTCAACACAATATATGAGCATTTTGATAATATATATTCCATACAATTTGCACTAAAAACTTCTTAGAAATGGTTTAATAATATCTGTATCTACTTTATTAACAAATCGCAAAATAAAGACCTTTTATTATTTATGAGAGATATTATTAAACTCTTCAACTAAATATCCTAGATTGATCTCATTCAAATCCTCTATATAACTAGTTTTCTCATTTTTTTTAATACAAAAAAATTACAATCTTTTCTAATTTTCTCAAAAACTCATGATGTTATGTTTTTTAAATATCTAATATTTTTCACATCTTCCTTCCAATCTGCCTAATTAATTAGGGACTAGACCACAATTAGATATTTTAAACTAACTTTCTCTTTATAATATATAATAAAAAGTAATAAAGATATAGAGGAAGGTGAGCTGAAAACCAGCATGACACTAATCATCATTATGTCTCATTAAGCTTCACCTTTAGTGTGTCTTAAACTATCATTAAAATATGTTAATAATGATTAGCTACTTAGCTTGCATATGCATATACACAAACTTTACCTTTTTAATCATGTTTTAAAGCTACCTTCTTAGCTGTTATAACCCTTTTTTACTTCACTAATGAAAAAATCTTTTGGTCAGAAAATTCGGCCATAAATTGGCCAGAATGATATTTTTTTCTCTGATATTTTACTTTTTAAAAATATTTTTACCTTTTTAGTTTTAATACCTTTTAACTAGAAAATAGAAAAAATAATTAGTTTATTTTAAAATTAAAAAAATATTATAATTTTTTAAAATTTCTATGTCAAATTTTAACTAAATTTTTTTGATCATTTGACATTATCCTTAACTAATGTTTGAAAGAAATATTTGGTTTTAACTACTATTCAATTGAATAATATACAAATGAAAGAAAGAAACAAAACAAAATTAAAATACTCACTCATTTATGTACTCTTACAAAGACAAATGTAGTGTACAACTAGACAACTTTGCCTTCTAAAACCAAAAAAAAAATAAAAATACTTAAACAAATCTCATATGATAAAATGATGAAAAAGAAATGAGAGATTAGGCAAAAAAGAAGTTACTTTCCCCTTTATGCCTTAAAACCCTTTTAAAATGAAAAATAAAAAAAGGGACAAGAAAATTGTTGCTACTCCTAATTTGTCTACAATAAACAAAGACAAATTTCTTGGAATTGGAATCTTTGTTGGACCCTCTCCAGCTTTACAAAGCTAGTGCTTTGTCCTTTTCACAACATAGAAAAGCTAGGTCGATGCTGGTGATAGATAGCAGGTATCTTGATACATAAGCTGACTCGAACATCACGAACTTATTTTTTTTTGTTTTTGAAGATAGAATGGCTTCACCCTAAATGGACTACACACACATTCATCATTCCCCCTCTTTTGCCCTCAAAAGTTGGAGAATTGACACCAACTCATACTAAAACATTTGGTTCAACTTTGACAAATGATCATTGAAGCTTGAGATCAAAAACTTAGACCAGACCATTTCCAAGGCCTGATCTCTCTGTCAAGGGATTCTCCAAGCAGAGTTTTATCAGCTATTTGCATAGATTTCGAGTGCATCGTTGAGTTTTTACTATGATCATGGTCTGAAATTGTGAAAGAAGTTAGACAAATGTGATAAGACATTCAAGAACATATGAGATAAAGAGAGTAACATTTACCAAGTTATCTTCTTTGGCGCGACAAGTGAGTTAGCACTCTTGACTATAATATGAGACCATTACTTGAGCTCCTTACACGAAGATCAACTGTCTTTAGATCGCGAAGATGTTGTAAGATTTCATGAAGAAGATCCATCCCTTTATCGCCTTTCTTCAACGAGCTCATGCAGTTCTTAAGGAACTCCCTATCTGCCTCGAGAGCTTGTAGTCTTTCATGTAGAAGATCCAACTCCTCTTCTATATCTAGCTTCTTGTTTTCCTCATCAACGTCGTTGGGATGGAAGCCATTTTCATGTCCATTTATCATAACATCTCCGTTTTCGTCACTCATTGCATCAAAAAGTGGAAGAAGTCCCTTTCCCTTTGGATTGATAATTAGTTTCCCATTCATTTCACTCAAAAAACCATTGGCATGTTCATTTATCTCTCCATCTAAACGAGAATTTACCACCGTATGATCTCCATTCTCTCTATATGAATCGTCCATTGGTCTAACATCCTCGAATTCCTTTGCATCTTCATCATCCATAGATATAAGCTTTTCTTCCAACATCTTTAGCTGTTCAAGGATGGACATCCTCTCTTCCTCGAAATCAACAAACGATTCTTCCAATTCTAGAAAAGCATCAACTTGAACTTTATTATCATGATCATCACATTCTTGATGGCAATAAAAGTTGACATCTTCTTTTGGTTCTTGATTCAAATCAATCGACAACTCCTCACTGTCCTCACCGTTGCTACAAGAGGCTGATGAAAATAATCCGCTTCTTGCAACACTTCCATCTTTGCTTCTCTTCAACATCCTCATCGCCTTTTCTTTTGCTTCATATTCCGATAACCTTTTTCTATATACTTCCAATTCTTTCTCTAGCTCTTGCTTTTCCTTCTCCCTCTTTACCATAAGCTCATTCAAAAGCTGCAACGCTTCTTGATCATACTCCGATTGTTCTTCCATCATTCTCTGATATTGCAATGCTTCCATCTGCATTGCTGATTTTTCTTCTTGAAGCTTGTTTATCATAGCCATTGTTTGATTAGCAGCCACAGCAGAAGCACTCCTCTCTTCTTCTAACTCTGTATACAACGCGTGTAGAGCCTTTCTCTCAGCTTTTAACGCTGATTTCAGATGTTCGATTGATGAAACTGCATCTCCGCCTTCTAACTCACTAACCACACTCCCATCCAAAGACTCAGTTCCGAAATCTTTCTTCTCAAGGAGTAGTAACTTCTTATGCAACTGATAGAAACTATCTATAGAAGTTGGCGTCTCTGGAACTTTTTCTTCTTCAATCTCATCCAATTTTGAAGATATCAATGATTCATTGTTCATCACATGATCATCAAACTCGAGCGATAACAATTTCAATTCTACTAATTTGTCATGATCTTCTGTAGGACCTAACATGATACAACAAAATAAATAAATGAATACATAACAGCAACCATTGCAAAAACACTCGTAAATTCTTTTCTTTCGTCGCGCTAAAGAAAAGATTTGGTTTAACCTTACCATGTTGATTAATATCATGGAAATGAGCAGAACTTGTGAAATGTTCTTCATGTGTACATGAATCAAGAGATACTTCACATGGAATTTCATCTGATAGATTCATATCAGGAATTTCATTTCCAATTGACACTTCTGCCTCAATTTCATCAATTTGTTGTATTTCGGAAACCTCTTCTGAAATAACAAAAGTAAAGCAAAAACAATCAACAACAACAACATACTCGGTGTAATTTCACAAAGTGAGGCTTAAGGACGATAGAGTGTACACAGACCTTACTCCAACCTCAAAGTTAGAGAGCCTATTTCCACTAGACCCTCCACTCAAGAAAAAAGTAACGGAAGTATAAGAAACAACAGATAGTAACCGAACAAAAACTACTAACAAAAGAATACAATGATCGAGGCACAAGGAATCGACAGACAGTAACAGAAATCGAAGGACAAGAAACTACTAGAGTATTATGAATATGTACCTGGTGTAACATCTGAATCATTTTCTTCTCTTACACTTTCAACCTCAATTTGAACATTATCTATAGCAGATTCTTGGTGAAATTGATCAAATTGTTCATCAAACTCTTTTACTGAATGACATTCATCAACACAAAAACTAAAACCATTTTCATCTTCTTCCATCTCCATAGAATCAAGAACTGCAAACTTATCTTCCTCCTCAATCTTGTTAATCTCAACAACCAATTCATCATTCTTTTCGCAATTTTCGTCGGTTTCATGGTTTTTACAATGATCTTCCTCAGTTGTTGAATCAATCAGTTCAACAGGAACCAACTTATGACCACTACACTCAACAAAAAACTCCAAATGCTGAGAAGAATACTCAAAAGATGAATCCTCAATTACACAAACTTGAACACCTTGATCTTTCATTACTTTTTCAATAACCAAACCATCAAGATCAGTTTTTTCTTCATCAAAATCTGATCTTTCTTTAACCAAATCATCATTTGTTGACTCAATAACCAAATTCCCTTTTTGGGTATCTCCCAAATCATCAACCTCACAACTTTCATTTGTAGACTTTTTCTCCAACTTCACATCACAACAAGAACATTCAAATCTTGAATTATCATCATCATGTGGTGATGACAAGCAATCCTCACACATATCTTGTGATTCAACCAGTTTCTGATGATTTAAACAGAACCCCAATTGAGATATCTCTTTAGCATGAGCTTCACAAAGAAGATCTTTGCAAAAAGCTTTAGTCTTTTCATGTTCAAACAAATGATCAATTCTTGAACACAATGGACATGGTGGCTTTAACCCAAAATAGTTAGCAAATTTAATGATCATATAAGAAAAAAAAGAGTTAAGGAGAAGTAAACTTATAAGAGTCCATTCCAACACTGCATAGATAAGAATCATTGTGATTTTGTTGGTATTTTTGTGTAACATAGTTGCAAATTTGTTAGCAGCCATGATCCAAAATGAAAAAATTACATAAAACACACACACAAAAAAAACTTAATATACACAAAGTGATAAGCTAATTGAAGAATCAATGGGAAGATAATGTTGAGTGAAGGTGGGGAAAAGAGGGAAAATAGTTTAAAGTAGAGAAATGAAGAAAAAGATTTTTTTTTATATTTTGGATTGAATAGTAAGAAAAGGAAGCTAAAGGAGACTTGAATCTGTCAAAGTAGGGGAGCCAGGGTATTACAACTTGTTTCAATGGTTGTTACATGTGGTATATTGTTAAATGTTATGTTTGCGCCCATGATTATATCGTATCGTTTAAATTTATTGGATATTGATAAAGGTGGGTGTTTTGATATTTAGTTAAGTTATGGATTATCAAACTTTTTATTCGGTAGATTAAATATTAAAATTTTAAATTTTGATTTGATGTGGTATTCGATAGTACTGTATTGAAGTTGTGGCTGATTGTATTATTAAGTTAATATTATTTTTTATTATTTTTTTTATGTGGAGAGACGATATAATAAATAGAAAACATTAAGAAAAAAAAACTGATGCAATTAAAAGATATGTGTCTAGGCTGTTTATGTTAATTCTTTAACTTTTTGGAGTTGTACTAATGAGTAATAGATAGGTTGATACATGATATTTACTGAGTAAATGATTCGGTATTCGGGAAATACCAAATGATACTAATGTCTCATAACAAACTCAAATTTGAATACCAGAAATTTTAAAATTTTACTCTTGAATACCATACCAATTACTCATTTACCAAAAATTTTGATTTGGTTCACTAATTAATTTTCGATTTATTTTCAGCCCTAGATTTTAATGGGAAGTTTTATTTTATGTAATTATTGATTTGATGTGATCACGTCATTACTAATATATATTTTGAATTTTGTTTTAAATAATTATGTTTTATTTTTTATTACCTTTATATATTAGCTTTATCCCATCAATTTTTTTTTAGATTTACTGTTTAAATTATAAATATATAACATTATATAATGATGAAAAATAATATAAACTATCTAAATATTATAATTATTAAAATAATACAATACAATATAATAAATTATCATTACGAAGCAATAAGAAATAACAATCCAATTAGAGTAAGGTAAAATGAATTTTCTTTATGTGTATATATAATAGCATATTGATTTTTCTTAATTATCTCTTTTTATTTCAAAACTTCTTACTAAATATTTTGGCTTCCCCATGGCTGTCAAAGGTAAATCTAAATTTAAAAAAAAACAACTACTTCCTCCGTTTCAAAAATAATAACATAGTTTAATTTAAAATAAAATTTAAAAAAAACACTTTGTAAACATGTCACGTAGAAAGTTAAAGTTAAAGTGTTTCCAAAAAAATAAAGGGATCAATTTTTTTAAAACGTACTAAAAAAATAGAAATATTTTTTTCAAAACAGAGAAAATATAATTGATTATAACTGTATTCTAAAATTTGTAAATAAAAATTATTAAATTCGATCGAAATCATGATCAGGTTTTGAACTCCCTCGTGATTCAATCAACTTTCTTAGTAGGAAAAAAAGATCAACATATAATAATAAGTTTCAACTGATTTTTTATATAACATTTTTATTTGTTGAAATTATTTTAATGAAGAAAATCTTATTTAGCCGCTAGAGTCCATATAAAAGAATTATATTCCTATTAAAGATACGATGGAAAATATAAACAAAAATAAATTAATAGATCAAATAAAAGCATCTTTAAGTTTAATAAATAATTTTACACATTCAACAGCTAACATTTGCTGGATTCTTCTTTTCGTACCGATTCATTTATTTAATATAATTAGCTTATACTAGTAATTATTACATCTTTAATTTATTATTTTTGGTCTTCATTTTTTTTTAATAAAAAAGAACTTTACTCTTAAAAAGAAACATTTCATATTCATATACTAGAAATTTAAGAAATTATCGTATAAAGTATAAATAACAAATAATAATAACAACAACATGTGAAATTTTATTTAATGGATGCTCAAAAAAGTACCGTGTATATAATTAATCTATCACACATATACTGAGTAATCTCACAATTTAAATTTGTGACTCAAGATAACTTTACTATTACTTCAAATAACTTCTCATAAATAAAATTTTCATGTTTTTCTTCAAATATATTTCAACAACTAAAGATAAAGTCAAAAATTATTGTCTCGAATATCTCATAAATTTTGGATATTCGCAAGAGGTTACAAAAATATCAAATATTATATTTCTCAAAGAAAATTTGAATATCCGTAACTCTTAGATATTCACATAGAGATCGCGATGAAATTAAACACTGTCTTTATTAAAAAAAATCAAATATTTCGCAAATTCATAAAATATTTATAGGTATCAAACAAATCTCAAGGAGGTTCATATCATCCTAGTTTGAGAAATACACAACTGTAAGTCTATGACCCTCGAGTCGAAAAGAAATCTTACGAGAGAAGAATAAAATTGTACTCGTATTATTTTTATCAATAATAAATTCCTGTTTTTCCAATTATTTTTTATAAAAAGAAGTCAAAAAAGTATTGTTATGAGTTGTTTATTTTCTCTGTCTTTTTTCTAAAAAAAAAAAATTCTAAAAATAAATTGTATTTTCTTTGAGAAAGTATAGGCCTTGGATCCAAAAAACATGTAAATGGGCCCACCCATCAATTTTGGACCACCAACAAAGTTAGGTTTGGGGCCCATTAGATGCTGTATTTCATCATATAGATCTGTCTGTCACACTCCCACGCTCTTTTGCTTTTTTATTTTGGACATCGTTAATTAAATTTACGTTTATATATGTGATATGAAATTATAATTCGAAATTAAATTGATTTGATATTAAAGTTTTGTTTGGATATATAAATATTGTATTTTTTCTTTTTCATATAGATGAATAACTCATTAAAATTTTCCTATTCCTCGTATAGTTTTACCAAATGAGCATATCATAGTTTATATAAGTATCAGAATATTCTAAAGTACCGCATCGTATATAACATATTTTTATTGTACTCCTTTTATAACAAATATTTGTGATTATAAATTTTCATATACACATAATTTCATAAAGATTCGCTAACAGTAACAGTAGTAAATAATTGTTTTTTATATGATAGAGGACTATTTCTTCACATCGAATGTAAGTCTTTTTTTTTTACGAATATCTAAAAATGATGAACTTTGTTAGAAAACGAAATATATATTAATGAATCAAATTGTACAATTTCAAAAAATGAAACAACTATCTAGAAGACCATGTTTATTAAGAGTTTAAATCATATACAATTTCAAATTTTTTGCTTCAAATTTAATTTTATATATGAAGTTGTTTTATAGAAAATAAGTTTACAATTTACTTTTAAAATGATGAGTTAGGTGACTTTAAAGTATGGCTACGGTGCTCAATTATCAAATACTATGTGCTAATTATAGTTTAGTAAGATGTATTTTTGTGATTATTAATTCAAACATTAATACTATTTTTTTCTTTTGACATTTTGGTCATTAAATTTGACCAACAATATTATTGATATATGAATTTAGGTAAGGCCCTACCTCAATGTCCTTGATTCAATGAATTGAAATTTAAATAAAACTTAATAGTATGAACGATAAAATTTATCAGTATTAAATGTTTATATTTAATAAATAAAGAAAATTTATATATTTTTATATACATACACATTGAATAGTATTATACTATTTTATAATCATTGTTGATTTAAATTTTCAAAAATATTGTGTATAATCTATTATATTACGATAGGTATTTGATTTGATTATTTATTTTGAAGGTTAATTAGTTTTATGGTTCTCTCACTATCAATTATGTCAACTTAAAGAATATGGGATGTTTCACTCTTCTCAACATAGCATAAAAAAGATCCTTTTTTTTTGTTTGTACAAAATAATATTTTTGTGTATGTGAAAACTTAAATCATGCTATATAATTGTAAATTTATTTGAATTCAGTATTTTCTATGTTGAAATAAAATTATATAAAAAAATTTGTCAAATTTATAAAAAATGATAGGTATAAATCCAAATTTTAAAGATATTGTAAAATATTAAACTATAAAAAAATTAAATCTCGAAATTATTTATGTTCGCTTCATTCTAATAAGTACTTCTTCCACTTTATGAGGGAGTGAGTGTTTGATATTTGCATAGTTCGATTTGAATAATTCAGTAATTGGTAAATGAAAATCGATATTAAATATCAGATTTTCAAAGTTCACTCCAATAAATTCAATTTTGCCTAATACTAATATCTATTTTCGCGATTCAAATCTATGATCTATAAATTATATGAAGATAATTTTACCATTATGGACTATTTGTTAATACTCTAGTGGCCATTTAATTCAACTATATTTATGTTTTGGCCCACACCACTTTCAATAATCTTCAATTTCAAGCCTATTAGTTTTTTTAATTATTTGGTAGACAATTTCAAAATTAGCAAACAATAAAGTAGACTAATTACTTTTTAGTTTCGACGCTCCGTCCATTGAATAAAATAAATAAATAATATATTTCACATTTTTTATAATCATGAACCAACTTGACTTATTCAGATTCACATTACGTAAGATTTATAAAGAACTCGATACTGAACTTGTTCATAGTTATATTCTTCCATTATTTTATTTTTTGATTAATAAATGCAATTAATACATGAATAATTATAGCCATACTTGGGGACCCTACATACTTATTGCAATTAGTTATGGAAAACACAATCCAGGTTCTTGGTTATAAAGTTGAAATATTAAGCAAAGATAGATTAAAATAAAATCTTTGATAATATTATGTGTGAAAATTAATGTCAATATTATTGCACTATAGAAAGTTTTAGACTTTCAACTAGGGGACCCCACAATGGTTAGTATAATTTCTTTTCTATGTAAGGTGGAGGGGTCAACAATCTTGAAATGTATTGATTGTTCAAAGAGGGATAAGTAAAGATGGTTCATCGAACCGTCGTTTCGTGAGTTTCATATCTTAACATAACTCGAAGTTGATTTATTCTTTTTTTCAACCTGAACTATCACCATCTATTCGACTTAGTATGTTTTAATACATAGATGGTGATAGTTCAGGTAAAGAAATAGAAAAATTGATGATAATTTAAGTAGAAAAAAAGAACAACTAATAGTTCACGTGGAATAAATACTTTCACTCCTTTTGAAAAAGCATTTTGGTCTCCTTTGATGAAATCAAAAACTTGACTTGCAGA